TGTACCTTTAAATTCACTGCCATGTCCCACCGTTCAAACCGAAATATAGCCATGCAAACACAGCTGCTTCACGATTGAAACACGAATGGAACACAGGTGCCCAAGAAAACGACTTTTGTGCAAAGTCTTAGTAATTAAGTCTCTGGTACGTTTTTGAGTGACGACCTCCCACTAGATGGAGTGACGATGTAGGGACTCAAATGCATTGTAGGGAGACAGTGGATGCAGAAGGCCTAGGGCCGTTTCTTATGATAGTTTATGAGGAAGTCCTATGTTCAGCAGTGGACAGATAATGGCTGAGCTGATGATGATCTCATAAGATTGCGAGAACGTTTGTATTAAAGCATGTATATACATGATGGAAATTTGGCGGGCGGTAAAAAATTATTTAGTTTGTAACTCTGAATATAACACGACGTGTGAATGCATGATGCGTTTTCGGTGTTTATTATTGAACTAAAATATACGCCAAAGATTTCCTTTATTAGATTTTAGATTATCTGGCTAGATGAGGTAAATACGGACTATGAAGGCCATTAAAATGAAAATTAGATAGAATGAGTGAACATCGTAAACATAATTTCTAGTTTTAACAAAATGAATTGTGCGCAAGTATCAATTATTATTACTGCATTAAATAAAAAAAATCCTTTAAATATCTACAATTATTTTGCAGTAAAAATTGCTAAATCGCAAGCTGTCGTACGCATCGTCCTACAATACGACATACAAAGTGTTAACTTGCATTCCTTGGAATAGAATGAACTTGATACTTAAAAGCATTCTTACAATATTCTTACGCTGTACGAATAATTTTGTAAGCTACTTTTTTATACTTATGTATTTACCTTTGTTTTATCCTCTTTGTTCCTTTAATTTCACCATAAGCAGGTAAATTTCGAGCATAATTAAATGACTGCGCTTAAATGTTAATGAGTTCTTATAATGTGATATAATGTCTTACGCAAAGGCCTCTTTTTACATGAAGATGATATAGCTTAATATTACCAGTACTACGTTAGCTAGATGGCTAAGTACAGACCCGAAATTCTACAGTTTTAATAATTCTACTAATATTATAAATGTGAAAGAGTGTAAAGGTTTTTTTATACAACTTAGAATGGCAAACAAGCTATCGGCCCACCTGATGGAAAGTGGTAACCGTCGCCTATAGACATGAGCAGTACCATGGACATAACAGAGTATACTGTTTCGCCCATGATACCCCCCATGCGTTGCCCATCCTGAGGACTCAGGTGTTATGCCTCTGTACAAGGTATTTTTTAGTTAATTAAGCTTAAACAATTAAACAGATTTGAATTAAATATGGAACACGAGAAAGTTATATCCCAACTTAACACATAATACTTTCTTAGATCATATAGATAGAGGATCTTCTAAAAGATGTTTCTTTTAAAACAAGTAAACTTTTGTTATCTATGTGTGCGTAAATCAGGTTACCAGTATGAATAATTAGTACTATGTGGGAGAAATTTATAAGGTCAAATTGAAAATATGATTCTTACGAATATATTTGAAAGAAAAAGATGAACAGAGCATAATGATTTGTATTGATGCCATTTTAATTAATACATGTTTACCTATTAATTTATAAGCAACACATACATATGTATATTCATGTAATACTAGAAAAAAGCATTCCAATCTAAATAAAAAAAACTTGATATTATTTAATATTGCACTAAAAAAAAGCATTTTTGTTGTGATTAAAAAAAAAGTCAAGTGTCATAATTTGCTGCCTAGATTCTGGCCCATTTTTGATACTTGATACTCTATCTACATAATTTAAGGATACTTTATATAGTATTTTACGTGGATAAAGCTGTAGGAAATAGCTAGGTGATAAGGCGAGAGAAAATTAATACTGGTACATCGTGGTAATTTCTTGGTGAAATCGTCAAGATTGAAGCAATGGATCTAACTTCATTCCCATCTACCATCCATCACCGGTACTCAGTCAGTTTATATATTAATATTTACCTGTACTATTAAATGCAGGTAATATTCCATTTTCATTCAAAAACTATGATAATTGCTGTTTGTAAACTGGCGCTTGCTATCAAGCAGTTTACAATTTTCAATTTAGCTATTTGTATCAATTCAAAACACTCACTTTACGGGAATGTGACCCTATAATAATATTATTAACGATAATTAAAATCCAATTTACATTGATTTCTCTCTGGGAACATAAAATTAGGGAGAAAACGAACGACCTAATAATTGCTTGATACAATTATTCGTACATTAGCATGCTAATGCTTTTTAAGGGAATACATAAGATATTTGAGTAAGAAATAATCTTACCTTAGCTGCTTTTCAGGTTGTTGCCAGAGAAAAAAGGTAGTCGTTCTTAATTCGTCCGTATTTATTGTTAGTTGTGACGTTTTTGCTATTTGTGAACCGATTTTGAAAATGCTTTTTGCAATCGATATTAATTGCTCTCCTCTCGCCCGCTCTTGGGTCTCCTGATACAATCCTTCTCCAAGGATCTCCGGTTACCTTACTCGCCGCTGGAACACAGTGCTGTTAAAACACTATTTGGCAGCGATTTTCTACAAGGTGGAGGAACAATGCCAGTCCGGGTAGCTCCAATTCGGGCGAAAGATCTTTATGTAGCCTACCTCTCTTACTGCTTCCGAGGCAGAAGTATTTTCTTCTACCTACACACATCACATGTGAATTGAATTGGGTTTACATAAAATTATCGAATTTTATGCCTTGTCCCGGATTTAATATTTTTTTTGTATATTTCCCTATATTTTCATATTCATTCGTATAAATGATAATAATAAGATTATCTTAATAAGTATCACTCTAACTGTGACTATATTCACATAAATAGTTGTATTATCATAATAATAGTCCATTTATGTCTATTGTTGATTATATATAGGCCTTTACAAAAAGGAAGATGCTGAGTAACTGTTGGATTTGATAAAGGGGTCGTTGTCCTGTATAGTAGAGATAGGTATACCTGGGTGTACGGGATTCAATTGCAAATTATGTTTCTCGTCAAAATGTTAAATGGATTTTCCCATAAAGGTGATATTAAAAAGGATTTTTTTTCTTCCCGGAAACAAACTAAAGAGGTTTGGGTACTTTTGTATAGCGTAGGTTTTTGTACTTTTTGAAGCGATTATTAATAATTTTATTGTAGTAACATTTTAAAATAACATTTCTGATTAATAATATTTGTTGTTAGTCAGAGCTGAGATAGTTGAGCTTAAATCTTGATTCATAGAAAATAATAAAAATTTTAATTTTAATATCTCGATTCAGTTATTTTTGAATTAATATATAACAAAATTATGTTATTCATAATGAGATTTTTTTATTTTAAATTCAAATTCATCTTCTTTCAAAATATATTATAATTTCCATAATTTCCCTGAATTTTACCCATATCCTTTCATTAAAATCCTTGAGTTATTTACGAAAATATATTAACAAATATATATCTACGAGCACATATATAAAGATAGGGTAAGCGTGGGTAGGAGAGAAGTAATATATTATTATCATCGTACATATATAGGTAATATTACTGAAAAAAATTATTGGCAATCATGACAAATTTGATATGGCATGGAAAACATTTTGCATATCTTTTTATGGTATACATACATATCGATGTTACATAATATCTTTAGATAGACTATCTTTTTTTTATACAATTTAGAATGGCAAACAAGCTGACGGTCCACCTGATGGAAAGTGGTAACCATTGCCTATAGACATGAGCAGTACTATGGACATAACAGAGTATACTGTTTCGCCCATGATACCCCCTATGCGTTGCCATTCCTGAGGACGCAGGTGTTATTCCTCTGTACCCAGTAAATTGACGCCATATCCCACCCTTCAAACCGAAACACAGCCAAACAAACACAGCTGCTTCACGGTTGAAACACGAATGGGACAGAAGTACCCAAGCAATCGACTTTTGTACAAAGTCTTCCTCTAGTAAAGGTGAGCATTTGTATCTTCATACAAATGCTCAGCTAAAACTGTTGTTATTGTTTATTTTAGCACGATATGTGACCACAACATTCTGCAAACACAGAGACAATATGGTCCATGAATACGATCAATCGAAAAGAGAATGAATTTATGCTTAACGGTTTCTAACTTATTGGCATTGTGCTGGCTTAAGTACTCTTTCAAGCTGTATTTTAAGGATCTGAGGTTATAATATGAAGGAAACTTGTTTCGGGAAAGGCCATTCCACAATGTGACCGTGAGGTTCACGTAAGAGTTGGTTAATTTACTTGTACGCAAGCGCGGGAAGGCAACCGTCTATGGATGTAGAGGTTGGCCTATCCTCGTGGTACAATATCTGAAAGGGGAAGGTAAAATAAAGGAATGGAATCGGAAAAGGGAAGGCGGAATAAAGGAATGAAAGAAGAAGGTCAACTTTTTTATTCGTGTTGGTGAATAGGGTTGCCATACTAAGTATTTGAGATAAATTGTATTATAAAATTAAAAATTATTTAAAATTCTTATAATATATTTGAAAAAAAAATTAGATAAACAGCCTATAATTATTCGTAATAATGCTTATCTTTAGTAAATACTTTTATACTGAATTTAGACATAAAAAATGTTTACGTCTTGTAATAATTGGAAATGGCCGCAATTTTAATAAATACATGTACTGCTATAATATAATATGATTTATTCTAATTTGTTAATATAATGTTATGATTTGTATATGTATTAAACATTTCCGAACGCAATATCCTTCTACCCTCCTTAGTTATCCATATTCTCTATCAAATCTGGGATCACATTGGGGGTAGATGGTCAAAATCAGTCTGTAATCCAACAGTCCATTGAGTTAATCAAGTTCTGCTAAGATCACAAATAAATTTCCGCCAGTTGCGTATTATTCAATCAACCGCGATCTCCGCGCAACATAGTGACACTTTAAGCGAATCAACAAATGTGTTGGATAATTTGAAGATAGAACAAGAACGCGTACAAAAGACCTACACGCGGGGACTACGTGAACCAGGTTTGTCCTTCACCCTTCTTTTTATCCAACACTAATTAAAAAATTTAGGAAATTTAAATTTAATTATTTGCAACACTGATATAAAGGTTACCTAATATCTTCTCCAATCATCAATTTTGACCTCATTTTGGTATTTCTTGTTGCAATCAGTACAGTTTTATTTCCATATTAGCTCCATTTTATTTTTTTAATGATTGAAATAGTTTTTTTTTTGTAGCTAAGTCTACAATAAATTTCTTTTTTTTCAACTAATCTTATGTAAGAGAAATTTGAGAAAGTTAGAAATGAAGTTAACAGCTGATTAGGTACACGTTCTAAATTCAAATATTTTTAATCAGTTTACAATGTAGTTTTTAGGCAAAGTGTTTTTGTTTCCAAAACACAATCTAAAAGTATTTCGCAGTAAGTAACAAATAAAAACTCTTTATAGTTTTAATAGATTATACGTAGTACTTATATGTAGATAACTCACAAGATATCAAAGCTGAAACAGTGCCGAGGTAAAAATAACTTATTACTTTGGTCTTACGTTAGGTCAAGTTAGAAACACTGTATTTTTATTTCTAGTAAGAATTTCCTAAAGACCTTTCTAAAAACCTACCTAATTTAGCTTTTTTTTTTATTTAATTTTAATTTATTAAATTTAGCGGTTTGATCTGACAAGGTATGTCAAATATTCAGTCACTTCGAAAATTAAATATTTGATATAGTTAATAAAATATAATAGTTCTAGAAGACTTCAAAAAGGAGTATATTTTATATTCTACAGTAATTTTTTAGGTCTATATAATACTTATACTTTTACTTGTTATGATCTGATTTTGATATTACTTTTTTTATCTTGGCATTATTGAAGTCACTGTTTAGCGGAGTAAAACCTTAATTCTTTACTTACTTAAAATTCTTTTGTAACAAGAAAAACAGTTTATTTCATTCATATTTCATCCCTTACAGTCTCCATTGACAGGAATGAACCGTAGCGTCATATCGGAGACCTTAGCCACGGAGGGCGCACGTCGCGAATTCCCGTTGTCACGTCGCGTGTAAAATCGCAACTTATTTGATAACTGTATAACTTATTTGTGTATAACTTTATAAGTGTAATTACACATAACATTTTTAATAATGTGTTTCTGTGTTTTGAATTATACATTGTGAGAAATGTAGCTGAATGTACTTGAATAAAGATTTTTTTTATTTACAAATTATTAAAATTAAATAAGGAGTAATATGTTATTAGATTAATTATGTTATCAGCGTGTTAATATTTAAAAGACTATTTCAAATAATAACAGACAGAAGTTATTTATTTTGGTGATAGAAAAATATTTAAAAATGGAACAATATTTCAAAAACTTTTGAATAACCTAATATTGAGGTGAAAATACAAATTTAAATGTTAATTAAAATAAATAACACTCCGATAATATTAAAAAATGTTAAGTGAAATGTAATTAATCATCAGTAAGTAATTATTAGTGTTTAAATATTTTGGTGATTAAGTTGAAATAATTAGAGACAGAAATTACTAATTTCAGTGTTAGAAAAATATTGAAAACAGAACGTTCTTTAGAAAAACTATTAAAAAACTAAAATTGTAGTGAAAATACAAATTTACATGCTAATTAAAATACAAACTCGGAAAATGTTAAAAAGTGTCAATCGTACACTATCATCGGAATACGATCATGACAATTTGGGATTTTGGGATTACTTTAACATGAAAGATATGGATGTTATGAATTCGACCGAGCGTGGGGATGCTACTGTTCCGGCACCGGACCAGGAGTTTGTGGTGGCTGTGTACAGTGCTCTGCTGGTTACTGGCGCGATTGGAAACGTGGGAGTCTTCGCGACTCTCATGAAGTCACGGCGCAGAAAGTCAAGAGTCAACCTGTTGATGACACACCTGGCCATTGCTGATATGATGGTCACATTCATCGTCATACCGCTTGAGGTTTGTACTCTTATATATTTTATATACAGAAAACGAAATCCTTAGTATTTTTTAAATCCCTTAAATTGTCCTTTAATTATCTTTTTTTTTGTTGTTATAACATTGCCCTGTTATATCAATGAAACTGGACATTTTCATTGAAGTAATGTGGGTCAATGACGCCAAAAAAATTTGAGCCTCCAAACTTACACGGCGCGTTCAGCTGTTTATTTAATATGGGAGGCTCAATTTGTTGCTGTCTTTGAATTTTTATTTTATAAAATTTTTGTCTTAATATGTTCTATAGCATATCTAGATTCCTAGTTTTACGTAACGCTAATAATTTCGAATTAATTTTATTTGTAAATAAATTAATGAAAGGCAAGATTTTGCTTCTCTTTACATCATCTACTATCTTACTGTTTATATAACGGATTATGTCCTGAAAAACTCTTACAGCCACCTTTTATCATCATACTGCTCGCCATCGGCACGACATTATTTTCACACCTTAAAACCAGAATGGTAACGCATAGCGCGGTTTCAGAGGAGCTTCTTCCCGCGAACACTCAGACTGTGAAAAAATTTTCCTGCCGAGGCTTTCTCCAGAGATTAAATTTATTGGTTAAAGGAAAACAGATAGAAATGATTTTAAAAAACAGATAGATTTTAGTATTTTATGCACGTAATAATTCTTACGAATCTATATTGCACAAAAATATCAAATATATATACATATAATATACATACATAGCACACATAAGGAAATATGACGAATACAGTATATTATATTCTATCAAACGACAAAAAAAAAATGAGAATCTTGTAGTAATTTCCCCGCTTGTTGCTATTTTTTGCTACAAGCGTCAATTTAAATCATTAAAAATAAGGTCACGAATATTTCAAATGTTCGCCTACGGCATTCGGATGTCTGAACCCTGGAAAAGAAGGAATGCGTTTCCTGTACTCTACAGAACCTTTCTATATTTTTATTTATGACATTTTGAAACGACGACGACGTTGTTTCGAAGCAAATTAGTTTCTTGGAAATTTCGTGATATTTCGTAGCCATTTACGGTTCAACGCATATGTTTGTTATTGACTAGTAGAGATAAGCGTATTCTCTTTGAGCATCACAGCTCGTGAGTCACGAGTAAGAATTCCTCAGACGTAAGGATTCTAGATCGGAAAAGCGTATGGTATAACTGTGTAAACGTAACATTAACTGCAGTGCTGGCTGAGCTAGTGCATTACTTGTATGTTTTGTTTTAAAGGAACTTAATGAAAATGAAAATTATACAGTATCTGCTTATGTTCAATAGAAATATAAATAATAAATCGATTAAATGACTGAACATTTCGATTTATTACTAATTTATAACGAATTTAGAGAGAAATGTTTAATTTTTTTTTCTTTTCTTTTAGTTTTTTTTTTATAACACAGGGGCAAACGAGTATGCACCTCACTTGATTGTAATTGACTATCGTCGCTCATGATCGCTTGTTCAAAAATACTATAAGCTACGTATCCATTATGCTATCGGAAAATACACCTTGTTTGCGAATAAAATGATTTTTTAATGGATGATAATGGAATGGTAATCCCACCTGTACTAAAAGTATACGCTGGCGGGGTATCAGTCAGGATAAGTGAGAATAAAAGACAGATCAGTTAGTCCATTGTGATGAATATACTTGAAATTCAGCACGACGGTTTCCAGGAGGGACCACGTGGAGGGCAACTTGACTTGGTATATTGCTAGCAATACAACTAGTATTTAGCAGTATTAACAATTCCTCTCCCTCGCGGATAAAATTATTAGGTTTTACCATGTTTGACAGATTCAGGAGGCACAGGGCTGTTTATTATGATCGTTAATATAGAAGGTTTGCGTTCAGCAGTGGACAATAGAAATGATGATTCAATTAAATTTAAATGAATGCATATTTTAATCTTATTTGTTACTCTGTTTGAGTCATAGATTACTATTTGCTCTTCTATTACAGTTGTTTTGTTTTTTTTTTGTTTTATATAGTAATATTTTATGTATGCATATATTGCATGTATATATTTATTTATTTAATATATTACGTGTATGTTTATGTTATTTGAATACATGAAGTATTGCTTTATTTTTTCTTTATTCAAAAATGCATCGCCTATGTGTTTCTCGGTTTGCCCAATAGTTGATTGGTAGAGAATACCGTCTGGTATTAAGTTCGCCAAATGTACATAGAGTTTTACTGTGCATTAAAGTTTAAATAAATAAATATGGATATTAATGTAGAACTGACGAAAATAATATAAAGTACATTTCACATTATACTGTAATACACTACAACTGAAAATTAATTAATTAATTTAAAATCTTCAATTTGGAAATTTTGTGGATTACACACAAACTAGGGATCTGAAAAATATTTTCGTAAGCTAGAAATGATTTATTTTATTTATCGATCATATTACAAAAAGAAAATGCTATATTATTCATATTAAAGTAAAATAATAGATAAAAAAACCTATACAGACAAGTAAATAAAATATAAAGAATACGGTAGCGAAGGTAGATGCTCTTTTACTTTTTTATTTTGAATCTCTATTAGGAAAATAAATCTCATTCAGCTGCGATTTCTGTTTCAACTTTGTCCCCCTTTATAGCTTTGTCATTTCTTCTAATCACGTGGGACTAACGAAGCTTTATGATAAAACAAAAGCTTTAAAAAGGTCCTCTCGTTTTGTAAATCCTAGTATTGGTCTTGTCTCTTTGGAAAAAAAGATGATAAAAAATCAATTTAACGTTAAAAGAATGTACCAAATGTGTTAGATAAATGGATGGTTGGAAAGAATGGGTTCTGTTTAGATTGCTAATACTTGCAGGAAACCTTTTAGTGTGATTATTAATTCTGATTAAGGTATATAATACCGTAATTGGTAAGTGCGTAATTAATTGCGCGTTAAAAGTGCGTTATATATTATGGTTTTTGTTTTTTTTTTGTTTTGTTGCTTTTTTATTTTCATTCTTTTATCTTTTTTTACTGTGTATTATGTATATGTTTGTATTAT